CACTGATAAAACACTATTTTTCTTAGAGCAAACAGTGTATTTATCAGAAGCAACCCTCCCCCCACCCCGCAGAAAACATAAGAATAGGTCATTTATAATGGAACTCAGCAACAGGTCTGTATAGTTAACAGAACAAATGACCATAGTTAAAGATCTAAAAAGTCACTGATAGTAGTAACACACATATTAAATAAATAAGAAAAAGCAGTGGTTCATTTTAGATCTCATCTCCTGACCTGATATCAATACCCCAACTACACTTAAATGTCTACTACCAATGCATCGCATAGCAAAAAGGCTCAAGAATGTCTCACTTAAACAAAAGTGGGGTGATTGATACAGGATAATACAGGCCTGATTCATTAAAAACAAAGAAAACACTCCCCTAAACCTTTCTGTTTCTGTAGTTCCACACACATTTGCCTTGGAAAAATTCATTTAAGCCAATACACTATAAATCACTGTTCTTTCTCTTTATGAACCTTTAGAGTAAAAGGTTCGCAAGTTTAAAAGCCGAGATCTAACAAATAAAGAGTAAGAATTTCCACCAGGTGTGGTAATTACTCGGAATCCAAAGATTAAAATACAACTTTAGCAAGATCTAAGCTATTAATTAACAAACCTGTAAATTAGCTATTTTTAAGTGTACTGCTACAGAAAGCCTAACTTAAAGTAAAATGAAAAATTCCTCAAAGAAAACTCCTTACCATCTTGGGGTGGGAGGGAAGACATACTACAAACGTTTTCAGGGGGCAACTAGGGCAATTTAACTCAACATTTCCCAATTAAATAAAGATGGCTTACACACCTCCCTCTCCCATTCCTTTAAAAATATCAGTGAGAAGAGACTAGCAGAAACTTATGTTGAAAGGGAAAATATCAAGTGAAGGTTAAGGACAACGTACGATGTAGGTGTATTCTTCCACTCTTAAATAACTATTCTAAAAGTGAAACAAACTGAGCTTTTGACTTAACGTAGCCAATACTTGTTTAAACTCTTGGCCTAAAAATCTAGCGTTCTCACGCAACAAATAGCCTTTTTTTTTTTTTAAACAAGGTCTGACCCTAAGAAAGAAAAAAAAAAAAACTTTCAAAACAAATCACAGAAATATTCCAGTACCTACAAAAATAAATAGTATATTCAAGAAGGCATGGTAAAACTTTCCCTGATCTTGATGACCAGTATTTTGGTACTTTCCAAATCAGTTACACGCACTAAGAGGCTGAACACCTATGATATACTTTATGGGACAGTAAAGACTGATTTATGCATTTCCCCCTACAGATCTTGAACGTAACTTCTCTTTCACATGGTATTTATGGGAATACCACATTAAGGTGAAAAATGTCACAGCCAACAGGTGTACCATCAGTCTGCTGAAGACAGAATTTCCCAGAGAAGGAAAGATCCACAACCCAAGTGTATGTTTTTTATTTTTAATGAATCAGGCCCCTTCAGAAGAGAGGTTTGACTTATTTTGCATCACTCCTGATACTAATGTAGAGATCTAAGCTAGCAAGGAAGTCAACCATTAAAAGCCATGACTCAAACAAATGTATTATTTATGGTAGAGTAATTCATATGTCTTACTGTGTGACTTATCTTTTTAAAAGTACTAAGCTTCCCCTAATTCTCCCATTTGGGCTTTATTTTTTGTTACTGTTTTAAAAGCAGATTCATTTTTAAATGCAATATTCATTTATAACCAAAAAAAATTATTTTCTGTATATCTCTCATAAGTAATTACAATATGTTCTTTAAAATGTCTGTGCTCACTAGTTTTATTTATCACAGAAGAAGGAAGCTGAGAGACCAGCGTCAAATCCTCGACTTGTATTAATTCTGGGCAAAGTGGTGATTTAGGGGGCTTTATACACCCAGAAGAATCTCCAGATTCTTGTTTGCATTTCTTGCTGCGAGCCTTTCCTGAAGACAAAGTTGAGGATAACAGTGCAGGTTTCTGAATGTTGGCAGAACTGCTAATATCAGCTTCATTTTTTTTCTGAATTTGTGGTTTAGGTGAAATCTCCTGAATAAATAATAAAAAATTGATACTTTTATTTCAGTTTCTTCATTGTAGTTCGTGTATTCTATTTTGAATTTTTAAAAGCAATGTTAGTATTCAAATACATTTTAAGCAACATTACTTTCAGTACAAATAAAAAAATATTTTAAATGCATCACATTAAATTCATTTTTTTAAAGGAGCACTATCAATTATTTTCAGTATTCAGAACACTCTTATTTCTATTTGAAATAGCTGCAAAAAGCCTCAGAACAAAACTATTTCCCTTTATTCCCAATTAAAAATCCACCAAAGTCATTTTAGCTTGTCTTTTCCATCTTCAGTACACCAGGATCATCAAATGTTGTATCAAAGCGTAACTTGGGGAATTCTTGTTACATGACATACAGGCACTCAGCTATGATGGTAGCAGCAAATTTTTAAGTTACTTGAGAAAGCTTTCTTTAACTTAAATTTCACTTCTAGGAAAGAACCTGAAAAAGTCAATAATGCTCCTTTGCAGAATGTCTGAAAACAATAAAAAGTTTCCAAATACTGAACACACTCTCACACAACCCCTTCAAGTGCTGGGAGTCTGGATTTCACCACGTTATATGCTTGTGCAAACACATGAAGAAATCACAACTTCTAGCACAAGAGAGTTAAATAGATTGCTTACTGTGGGAGGAAAGAAATGCGCAGATAGAGTTAGAAAAGTTTTGGAAGAAAAAACAGTACATGATGCAGCTTTCTAACAACATCAATTTTCAACTTTAACACACACACACCCAAAGGTATTATTTTTTGGCATTCACACATGTTAGCAGATTTAGCATCTTAGATTTTTAGCAGGAAGAAAGTTCTTTCTGCTTGACTGAAAAAACTGTGCATGTGTTACAACTGGCCCAATATTAACAAATCACAATATCTGAACATAATTTCTTATATCTGTCCCATCTTGTTCCAGTTACAACAATCAGCATGGCATCATCTAGTAAAAGCATAAGTATATACTTCTAGAACTTTTGCATCATTTTATCCAAGCTAAAAAAGAGATGTCAGACTCCTGAATATTTAAGGACTTGGAGGTTGATTTTTTTTTTTTTTTAATAAATAACAATCTTATTTTCCACTGGAACACAGAGAATTCCAGCGGAAATAAATGTATGTGCACATTCTATGCATGTAAAATGGCACCCCTGCATGCTACATGAATAACTTGCTGGAATTACCATGTAAAGATCCAGTGCAAAGCATCCCACACAGAAGATAACAGTTCTATCTTGAATAATACCATAATACACATGTATTAAGTGCTGTTTATTCATTTAAATAAAAAATTGCATGAGCTGAAGAGTATACCTATGCTGGTTATGAGAGGTATTACCAGAAATTAATTAGAGTCATAACTTGTAAATAAACAATTTTATTGTTCATCTTCACAGATGTGAAAGACATTACTACAGCATCCATTATTTTCAAATTACAAAGTTATTTAAACAAGATTAAAAAAATTAAATTAATATTTTGATAAGGTGCTTAACCTCTTAACAGGACAAATTAACATTAAAAATCTTAATGAATTAATGTTATTCATCTAAGCATGTCTTGGTCAAAAGGAAATATAACATGTCACCCTAATACAGTTAAATAAACTACTGTATCTGCAACTAATTGTCTGAGGTTTTGGGCTTAAGACAACTGTAAACTAAAAATATATATAAATATAAATAAAATATACTTCAACAAAGTAAGATTCCAGCTATCAGCCTGAATATTTCTACCATGTTCTGTGTTACAGTATTAAAAAAACCTACAAGATATTTGATCCATTCAGTTTTATAGCAGTAGCAGAAAACACACCTCTAATTAAGGAGTGCCAGCTTTGCCATCCAAAAACCTTTTGGGGAGGTTTATAAATTGGCCATTTTAATTTGAATTTGGGCAGGATCTTAGCAAAAAAAGCTTTAATCTCCAATTTCCCTCCCTTCGATCATTTAAAAGCTTGTCAGGTTTCTGTTTTTAGTTAGAAGGGAAAGAATAATGAGAATTTGGGATTTTCGATGCCTCTTTTAAAGAGTTCAAACAGTATTTCCCCAAAAAGAATTTTTTCAGACCATTTGCATGTAAACAATGAAAGAGACATCTTTTTTTCCTTTTATCTAATCAGTAAAATAAAAACAGTCGTGTTACCATGTCAAAGAAATTTTTTTTTTGTAAATATGCATTGACTGTTTATGCTGTTGCATACACAGTCTATGTAAACCACAAAGTCCCACTCATATGGTGGGATTTCTGCATGGTAAGATTTACATTGTAATGCTTCTTCCGAAAACCACATGCTGTAAGCCATTTCACAGTTTTTTGCACATTGAAAATATCACACACAGTAGCAAAAAAAAAAATCATAGCATTTTAATATGCAAAAATTTGAGAAATGGAATGTCAGGTCAATACACTGTAAACCTTTATGCAAAATATCAATCAATGAATTGGCACTGTAGTAGCTTATACAGCCATTACAGCGACAGCATTAAAAACAGAAAATCATGTGCCATTGCCAGAACTCGCATCCAAAGCAGTATCAATGGAAAAAAACCACAAAACATAGCATTGCAATTATGTATCAGCTCTAAGGAACCAGTACAACCAAAATATCATGTAAAGGTTTGGCCAGGGACTAATCAGAATGTGCCAGAGCTTAAAGAACAGAAGTGCTCTTTCAGGAAGTGCGGGCAGCAAAGCTATTTTACTCAAATAGTCCTTGTAAAGAATGAAAATGAATACAAAAAAGTTGTATTAAAACTACATTAAGGCTCTGATTTAAATGACTGGGAAGCAAAGATCTCCTGAATCAATACTACCATTCATCCTTAGCTTGTTTTACCATGTTTAGGCATTCAGCCCTTTTAATACGCAAGATAACACACAACTTAAGAGTCAAGCAATGCCTGAACAGAATGGAAAAAGCCAAAGATAAAAAGGCAGCTTTCAGGTCCTGCAACTATGCAGGCTTAAAAATCAGACCCTTAATATTATTTAAAAGTTTCTTTTTTGTATTTATTAAAATACACACCCTTGCAAAATGTATGGCTCATTGAGCAGTTCATAAAACACATACAAGCCTACAACATCAAATTCCTACAATACAAAATAAACTTCTCATATAAGAAGTTCTACTTGATGTCAAAAACCCTGCTTCAAACACAAATTAAGTTCGTGTAAGGGCCTTCTCCTAAGCCAGACATGGTTCCAGTTGAAAACTGGACCTTGGGGTGCTAGTCTCCTAGCATTTCCTGCATGGAGACTTCATTTCTTTCTTTCATTTTTCCGCAACAAAAATCTCATTACTAGAATTCAAGGTAACGCTGCATTTTGAGACAACTGAATTCCATACTTCTGGCTCTGCCAGACATGTAAACACAAGGTAAGTTTTCAGTTCCCTATTATATCTGAAGGGGCAGATTTTATGTTGTAGGTACCATATCTCCATGGCACACTTCAGTGGGAACCTTGCAAAAGAATCAAACTCTACCATTTCATACCTGCTCCAGGACTGGAGCTGTTTCTTTGTTGCCTTCCTTTTTTTCAGCACCATCTGCAACAACAGCTTTGGATGCCAATAAACCTTAGGAGAAAGATTGCAGAGATTTTAGTTAGAACCTTACAGTAACAGTTTGTGGAAAACAGCAAAATTATGAGTCAAGAATTATATTCTGCTTGTATCAACAACATAATTCTCTTGAAACAGTTCAAGACAAAACTAAACACTTTCAATTAGAAGAAAACAGCAAAGGGACACTCCCACAGCGTTGATCTTTTCAAGAGGTACTTCTCTGGCACTTTCATTAACAAGCTGAGAAGCAAGCAATCAATTGTAAAATAACGCCTCACCATCCATTTGAGCCCAAGTGCTCAAACTTAAAAACCAAACCTATGTGACTTAAAGCATAAATTATAAAAACTATAAAGTTTTAATCATAAAAATAATTTATGATTCTCCTCTATCTCTCTCCTTATCAATACTTAAGAATTTCATCAAAATTTTATTACATCTTCTTAACTCTAATAAACGCCTAAGAACCTTTTTAAGATAAAATAGAAGAGATTCAGTTTCAAAATGAATTCTCAGCTGCAGAGTTCTCAAATGACCATAATGGAAACAAATAAGTCAGACTACGATACTCCATTCACAGAACAAAAACTGTAGAAGTGAAGGTAACGTATGTGAGAAAAATTCTTAGAAATATATCTGATTGGTGATTTAGAATATAGCAGTAGCCGCTGTTCTTCTTTATGAGGTAACTTCAATTATGTAAATATAAGAAGAACCCAGGTATGTCATAAGACTGGACTTCAGACACTTTGGACTGGATGATCTTGTAGGTCTTTTCCAACCTTAGTGATTCTGTGATAAAGTAGAAATGATAAAACCTAAAAAAAAAAAAAAACCCAACCCACAATTAAATAGAATTTGTTATTATAATCCCTAGCATCATCATCAATATTGTGATTGGAAAGTTTAAGTTCTCATACTTGAGCTGAAAGATCCAGAGAAAATTCCTATTGCGCTCCATGAAAAAAAAAAATACAACCAAACAGATATGCTCAAAAATAATTGACAACATACAGTGGCCAAGAAATTATATATTTGTGAAGCCAGGGCTTTCAGGAAACATTAGGGCACTGAAACACGAAATGCTCAGTAGTTTCTCTGGTCATGTGAGGTGCTTTGTTGTTTTTTTTTTTCCTGTGTTCCATATGAATACTAGGTACTTTTGGCATTTCTATTTGATTAAGATATGCTTCGAATACCAGTAAATGTGATTTTAATTCTGTATTAGTCTTCATAAAAAAATTTCATGAACTTCAATAAACCTTATTTAAGCCAAATTACAGAATTAAAAGTGTTCATCAAATTGATAACTGTTGACCTAGAATACAAAGCATGAAACAATCTTCAAAAGTAAGTGGAATAGAATTTAAAATAATGAACAGTGATCTGAATTTCAATGAAAATTATTTGTTAAAAAAAAAAAAAAAAAAAAACAACCAAAAACCCTAACATCTGAGTTCACTTTTTATTTCTAGCCAGATGCTCAGTATCCAGCAAGTAAAGCCATGGAACTAACTTAAACCATCAGACCCGTGCTATGAGTAAATAAGCTTTCTTACTTCATTCTTCCCAACACCATTAGGCATCTTTCTAACCAATCACCATGCCTTTACAAAGATAACTCCACCAACTTCAAGAGCAAGAAAACTACAGATTCAACTTCTCTGATCAGTGACAATGCATACAACAAATGAAGTACAGGTTGGCATAGTGAAATTGGAGAGTTCTGCTCTACAGATTTACAGCTGATGCTCTTCTAGGTATCAACTCCCAGGTAGCAGGATACATGGAAGCAAGCAATCCAAGAGAAGAAAAAAAATAAAAATAAAAAAAATCAGAAAAAGAACATTAATACGTGCTTAGCAGAACATATTCTTCATTTCTAGGAAATGTAACTTCCCCCAGCAGTGGAAGAGAAAGTGTAGAGAGCAACTTTGTTTTGTTAAATGGTGAACAAAGAACACCAGATGCAGCCTTAGTGGCAGGCAAGAGAACTTTCTGCAACAAACACTGATTACAGAATTTCAGTTCAGAAGAGTTCCCTTCAAACAGCTGTCTACAACCAAATCACTCAATTTCATCAATGCAGTCATAAGCCACTGCATAAATCAAAGTTTTCCTAACAGCTACATTGTTTTATGATTCTTTTGTAGCCATTTTTATGGATACACAAAAGTATAACCCTCCAGCCTCCATCAAATCAGAAACTTAAGGCAGGCAAATGACAATATACAGGCAAAAGAAAGAAGCATGTAGGGAAAAGAACATTTGATCACCAGTTACACATTCAAAATGCTCTGTTGTATGCAGCAATATAAAAAACAATTGTGTGTGAGCTGCAGAAGTGCTAATTAGACAACTGTTACAAAGAGTAACTACAAAGCATGACAATTTCATCTTGTAATTAAAGAATTAATTCACTTTCACTGAACAGCAACATCCTCAACTAAGAGAGCAAGATTTCTTGGAGACAAACAGAAGCTGGTTTTTAGAACAGTAATAAAGTCACTGTCAGCAACATCATGCATTTTAGTTATTTAGTTCAGTCTGCAGGAATCCATTCCAGTTCCATTTTTCTCATAACGTTCCCTCAGAAAGAAAAATCCACTGAAACTGAAAAATATCATTTCTAGAGATACTGGTTTTTCAGCGTGCTTTGCCATCTCCTGCCAGTAACATTTCAAAGGCTATCAAGAAGCAATTCATATTATCGATACAGATCTACAAAGCCCTGATAGCCCAGCCTTTTATTGCTCAGGGCAGAAATTACACTGGGACTTCACTCAGTGTACACAAGTGTCATGAGAGTAGAAATGAGGCTGATCAATCAAGCACCCATTAACAAAATTCAGCAGTAAATAGGAGGCCTTCCAAGAAAGATCACATTCTTCACATGATACATAATACTGAGACACTTATTCAGTGCTTTATACTGAAGCAGAACCTACTCATAAGAAAACTGACTGTCCTCAGCAACCGACCTGTGAAAAGCCCATGAACCAAAAGAAATCTGAAAAATAACTCAGTTTAATAAATCAGTGTATTTTTGCCTTATTTCTCCAAGTAGGACTCTTTTCATATAAATAATTTGCCTGAACTACTAGAAAAAAATACTACTGTAGCCTAATACAGTTACCAGATTTCACACTATTAGCTAGAACAAGGAGTGGAATGCATTTTGATCTTGCTATCTGTCCCAAGGGCTCTCTATTAAAGAGAGCTTCACAATATTTTTTCACTTTGTTTGTGAATGTTCTACTTTCCCACAAAGATACTACTTTATCCTAAGTAGTAACAGGATCAATACTGAAAACATACTTTGCTCATCAGAAGGTTTAGAGAAAGAGGTACATAATTTAGTACTTTTTTCCATGTTTAAGTTAATTTCTCTTGAATTTTATAACAAAATACATTTTTCAACTTTTAGTAAGAACTATCAATAATAATAACAATTTGACTCCAATCCGTGATCAAGCTAAACACATATTTTTTAGTATATATTTCTTTAAAACTCCAAACAAGAGACTGTAGAGAACACCTGCCAGATGAAAGTAATTTTGTGCATCTTCTTTAGAATAATGTACATAAGCATAAGGACAACAGAACAACCAACAAAGAAATTTTACCAGTGATCTTGTTAAGGCGAGCTCTCTTTGCCTGAAATGAGTTGCCTAGATTACTTTTCCTCTTGTGTGATAACGTGCTCTCTGCCTGCACAAAGGCCATCTTTGGAACATCCACTATAGGAAATCCTACTTTAAACAGAAAGAAAAATCTCAAACTCACATTTCATAAATATATAACAAAATAAAATACTGTAATATTTCAAAACTGATATTTGCATATCAGAGTTAAAAAAATCTTTACAGATATTAAAAATGAAATTGAGACAATCTAAAGATTTAGTATTATATATTAACTTATTAGATGACTCAGAATTTGTAATTTTTATTCATTGTTATCATAAAATGATCTGGGCTGGAAGGGACCTTGAAAGTCATCTAGTTCCAACCCCCCTGCTACAGACAAGAACACCTCCATCTAGATCAGGTTGCTCAAACAACCTGGCCTTGAACACTTCCAGGTAGGGGGCATCCACAGCCACACTGGGGAACCTGTTCCAGTGTCTCACCACTCTCACAGTAAATAATTTCTTCCTGATATCTAGTCTGAATCTACCCCCTTCCAGGGTAGGTATGAGAAATGCAGTCGTCAAAAAAATACTACAACATATTTGCATCAACCCAGAAATTGTTTCAACTATTCCAAAATAAGAATATAGCTTTCAGATTGGAAATATTTTTCTCCTTAATACACAATACTATTGATTATCTCACAAGTAACAGCAGATTCAGGAACAAGAACCAGAGTACACAGTGAAGCCATTTAAGAACTCACACTACATTCTCATTACAGTGTAAGTAGTAAGTTCTTATACAACTAAGTATCTACTGCTAGGAGATGTTTCCCAACTGATAAACATTAGCAAATGAAATATACTTCTCTGGAAATCCTAGTAATCAATTGCAAAATTAACTACGTGAATTCTAACTCAACAAAAATAAATCAACTTTTAAATAATCTGTTTTTACCAAATGTGTCACTAGATGTAGGCTCCTCTTCCTTTTTTTGGACCTCCTGCATGATTGTAGAGGTTGATGTTTCTTCCTTCTTTGAAGGAACTTTCAGCCATTTTCTCTCCTCCTTATCTTTATTGCTGTTTGCGCTGGTTCTAGGTTTAGTTCCTGCTTTGTTCTTGGCTGCTGCAGCAGCAGCAGCTTTGACCAAAGCTATCCAATCCTCCAAAAAGGAAAATATGGTAAGTAAGTATTAAAAAGCATCTGCTACTTAGATAGAAAGTACTTATAAACCCAATGAAGCTTCATTTTGAAGGATTCATCAACATATGAATATATTTTTATGGCTAATATTCCAAGAGTGGTAAAGAGTTTCCCAACTTGCCTTAATAAATCTGAAATATTTTCGGTACACCACAAATGTAAAAAGCAAAACATCTTAAAAAAAAACATTTAATATAGAATATTGGCTGTAGGCATTCTCTGCTACCTATTTTGTGTATCAGAGCTTCAGCAATGTAGAACACTGACCTTTCTCTTATCCCTCTGGGTATGAAATACACCAATTCTGCAGTTGCTCAAATGTACCCGTTACTCAAAACCAAAATCAAGTCAAAATAGAGTCCAGCCAGCTGCATGACTGGACAGAGTTCCTCCCACGTTAAATTGGTAAAGCAAAAAAATCTTTTCTAATTGTACCTGAGTTTCTAGAGTAACACAGAGCACTGTCTACAGTCCATAAGTCTCATTCAATAATTTCAGTGAAGTGCTCTACATCACAGCTCAACATTAGGACCCATGTTTAAAGGTAATGAAACATACTGTTTTAGATAATGTCATATTTGATCACGCAAAAACATCCAATGAGTGAACAGCAGAATCTACAGTTCAAATTCATATACTTTTCAGCATGCAGATGAAGTAAAGTCATCTTACAGTCCATAGAGAGAACTGCAAGGCAGAGCAAAGCACTTTCCATTGGTTCAAAGTGATTACATTCCTGCCTTATGTCCCCTGAGTGTCAGGGGATCAGATCTGAAAAATGTGTGTTTATCCTTCTTAAAGTTTTGTGGGTTTTTTTTTCCCCCCCCCAAATATTCCATTATTAAGGTAAAGAATTTTTTGTAGATAAATAGCAGGGGATACAAAACTCATTAGCAATGTTCCCCCTCCACCCTTAAGAATCATGCACCTGAATGCATTTTGAGCAGTAATAATTCACTGTGTGGCTACAAAAGCATTTTCAGATTTGCACTAGCTAATATAAAAAAAAAAATTTCCCAAGTGTTTTACAAATAGCAAAACTTTTTTTTTTTAAAACTGTAAACAAACTGTATTTTAGCCTGAGTATTTCCTTGTTAACACGTGGTACCTAAAATGCCTTTACTTTTATAAATCGTAAGTCATTCAAACACAACTTTTTTCCCCATTCATCACAAATTAAATCCCAAAATTTTTTATTGAGATTTTTGTCTACTTTGATGTACGAGAGCATAACACAAAAAGTATTAACTTTGTGCTATGTTCTTCCTTCTCCATAGCTAAGTATGTTTAAACCACTGCTCTGCATGTTACGTATGCTGTGTCAAGCTATGCACTCAAATATCAGCAGCTTGATGCCACTCAAGTAGTGTTTTGCATCCCAACCATCAATGCAAACACTCAGTCTAGCTCGCAGCAGAAAAGTTTGGAAGTGCTTTGGCAATGCTTGCACAAGAAGCAGCTACCACAGCCATGTGGTGACATGGCAGCCAGAGCAACAAAAACACATACAGCAGGTTTTTTTTTTCGGCCAGTCAAAAAGAGCACGCACATTAGCGCAAGTCCACTCAGAGACTTGTCAATCCAACAGGACAAAAAAAAAAAAACAACCAAAAATAAATGAGCTATTTGTCCTGGTGAGGAGTTACGAGACCTGAGGATAGTCCTACATTCTGGCCAAGGGATGAAGAGGATCAGTAAAACAGCTGGAGCTTTGATCTTATGAAGCAAGCGGGAAGCAAAGAAAGCACAGCCTGCACTAAAACAGCTTCTAAACAGCCTTTTCATTTCCAGTCAAGCTGAAGCACCCTGAAATCAGAAATTTCCCAAAGAAGATTCCAAGCTTCCAGGATGACACTGTACTAAACAACAAGTTTTAACAGTAGCTGTTCTAGTGCAACACAAAGGATTTTTGTTTATTTCATTTTTCTGTTATTTTCTTTAAAGCACAGAGCTTACAAAGAGTGGCAGACCACATAACTACAAAGCAAACAAAGGTTAAACTTTCAGAAGCCAAAGCAGAGAGATTAATCGTGGTGGGAATCTACAGCAGGATGAATTCTGAAATCTGCCTCTGGGCTGCTGGAAAATACCTACTCTACCAATCACAAAAGTAGAACATTACATATCACAGATATCAGATAAACTAGCCAGTAAATCCTAACAGCAGGACATGTTACTGGTGCATTCTGTATACATAAATCAAGAATCCAGATATAAATACACTAAAAATGAAGAAAGAAAACACTCCTTTTAAGATAAGTTTTCTTATCCCTAGTGTTCTGACTTCGTCACTTTAATGGCTAAGGTTTTGTAACTGCACCAATTTCACATGCAGTCAATTTTCCGTTTCCCCACAGGGTACCACTCACAACAGTATTTCTCATTCATTTACTGTTTTAAGAAGCTACGTTGCCTTCCATTTCAAGATTAATCTTTCAAATAAGCTGAGAGAAATTGGCAGAAGTAATGGGAAGCTGTATTTAGAAGACAAAACAGTATTTAATCACTACTGAGAAAAAAAATGATGCTTCGCCAATTAGATCCACTAAATCAAAGCACAGGAAATTGTACAATCAATAAATATGTTAGTAGAAATTACCCAACAGCCTCGCACACCAATTAGTTAAAATACATTTTAAAGTACTCCCTTGCATAATCTTTAAGCCCACAGAAGCAGGAATACAAGAAAAGGATTATTCCTAAAACCCGACCCTTGTGCCAAGAACAATTCATACACATCATTCTTCCTTCACCTACCTACAACCAGAATCTCTATGCTTCTCCACAGCCCTACAGATTCAGCTGTTTTCTCTCCCCTGACACATCACAATTCCAAATTCCCACACATTCATACATACACATACATAAAACACCATCAACCTATTGGCTGGCTGATTCCAAGGCAAGACTGGACTCCTTACCCTCACCTTTCAAATACTAAACAGTCTGTCCCACCTACATCTCCGCTCACATTGTCTCCTGCCATCTTCTTTTTTCCTGTGTGCCAAGTGTAAATCCACGCTTTTTCCTCAGCTTCCTCTTCCTGCGTGCCAAGTCCCCTCCCTCTCCTTCAAAACCCTCCTCAAAACTCACTTCTTTTGGTTCGACTTCCGTCACTAATCTCAGCTCCGGCGCTATCTGCTCCCTCTCGCGCGCCTGATTACATCAAAGATAAAACAAAAAAACATGAAACAGAAAAAGTAAGTTATCTGAATACTTCACATGTGCTCTCAAAAGGGTAGTCTAAATATCCCCATCTTTATTTTCTTTCTTTACTACTTTCCCCGCATTTCTGGTTGATTTCAATAAATCTGAGTTGCTCTGCAGAGGAACCTCATTCATCGTCCCATTGCATTGAGCTACACAAGTATTATCCACTCTTCTTAGAATCGTATTTCCACCCTCACAGCTAAGTCTTGTACAAACACAAACTCAGAAATGGTAGTCAAGCATCAGTGTTTGAAATCTCTTACAAACATACTGAACTCAAATATGGCTATTTTACTTGCTTTTGGAAGTAGTCTACTGCTGTTATTGCCAACAGCCTTAAAGTTACTGAAAAAAAATACATGTATTCAAATAAGCATTTTCCTCTGGAGAGGACAATCACTGCTCCTGTTCTGATCAGATAAATTTTGTCACACACTTCTTTTAGCTGGATAACAAATCAAACTATTTAAGAGCTATAGTTACAAAAAAAAAAAAAAGGGCCTTTATTGCTTTGCAAGGAATTAACTAGTCCCTATTTTTTCTCTGTCCAATTTAAATTCTGTATGGTCTCAGTACAGCCATTAAAAAAAAAATCTTGCATGTGTCCAATTTGCTCACATGCAAGATCTCAAAGTAGTATTTTAAACATACACTCATCTATTGAAGCAAAATTTTTCTTTAGATTAAAAAAAAAAAAAAAAAAAGCCACAGCATAAGTGCTGGACCTACCAAATCACATTATTTTACTGCAATCTTTTTAAATATCCTTTTTTTTTTTTTTTTTTTAAATTTATTTCCAGTAAATGGTATCTCAGAGTAAGCAATGGAAAAAATCAGAAACATTCATGTGAGTTCCAGGCCTTGTTAGAACTCCATTTCAAATAACTGACTCGGAAACAAAATCTTAGATTACATTTACCTTCTTAAAAAACTATGGAAGTACTTTAAAAGGAACATTTTTACCATAGCATAAAGATGCAGTGAACATAAAAACATTAATTTTGCCTTTGAAAGCTACAGCTTCGTACCTTCCTATAGTTTTGCAGAACAAAACACTGAGACTAGGATCAATCAGCGTTGTAGAAAGCTTGCTTGTGCTGTTTTTTCTGCAAGACAGCCTTAAAAATTTTAAATTCATCTCAAGTGTAAATTTAGCCCATTTAAATCTTAATTGAACCTACCTGCATTCAGCCACTGAGATGAAACTGACACATATCGCTTGGCTCAAAGTAGTTAACTCTGAGCTCCCAGGATGAAGTGTAGGACAGAGTAAAGGACTTGATGACATTGTCTCAGGAGTATTTTAGTTCAGTTACAACCACATTACCCAAGTTTGCCTTTTTATGAAGGAAAAGGAAATATTCCAACTTCCTACCTGAATGTTAAACTGAAAATATTGTTCTGATTATTACTCAAGGGGGTCAACAGAGTTACTGTAACACCACAGCGAGAAAACACTAGTAGTGCAACTATGACTTAAGTTTAATCCTTATGGAAAGGTAGTTTAAATACTGTGGGTGTTGCCTGCACAACAGTTTGATGTTCTTTCTGCAGATGATCAATGCAAATATACAACCAACTGCAACACAGAGGCCAGAAACACAGAAATGTTCCCAGGCCAGTCCATCTGCTTTATCACATGAACAAAATACAAACAGACAACAGAAATTATGAAATAATGAATTTTGTTCATCAAGTTAAAATATTCTGGAGACATTGGGAACATATAGGAATAATTTTTTAAACTCCTTTTGCATCCTAGTCTCAAATTATTTCAGTGATTTCTTCACTAATTACAGTTACCATGCAAGACAAACACAATAGCATTTCCACTGAAAGCATGCAACAGTGTTAAGTGTTGCTTTTCTTTTGTCAGTAAAGATATGCCTACTGATTAAAACATATCCTCTACTTCACAGCCTTCTTCCACTTCTACTCAGCACCTCTATTTCATCAGTGACATAGAACTGTTCAGAGATAAATATTTATCTGTCTCCGTAAGTTCTGACAGAGGGGAGAAAACCCCACTGAACAATGCTGTTAATAAGAACATACTGTGGCAAAAAAATCTACCAGTGCAGCAAACAAGAGGGTAAAAATAAATAAATGGAAAATCACCAGCACAAACTACCAACAAGCTATAGGTTTTTCCTGAAGGGCCACAAGACAAAGGAAAAGGTCTCTGGATATTTCTGCTTCTATCAAGTCTATTAGACAAAACTCTGGAACAGATAAGCCAGCAATGGAGTATACAGCAGCTAGGCATTTCAAATAAAGGCAGGACTACTTGAGCAACACAACCTGAAGAATCATCCATAAAACTAGTGAAGCAAGGCAGTGCAAGTCCTAGAATAAAGACTGCAATCTAGAACTAGTTGTCCTAGATAACATTTCTACTAATCCAAGACAAAAAAAAATAATCAATATGAAACGTAAAAAAAAAAATATCTAATATTATTACCTGCCCTTTTGCATCCTCAGGCATAGATTTGATATGCATTCTCTTAAGACATCGAATGACACCATCATAGAACTGTACTGTGAATGTTCCTAGAATAAGATTTATGTAATTACTACAAGGTAGTTAAGAAACAAACTCCTTACAATGAAAGTTTTATCAAAATATTTTGTAGGCAATATGAACGAAGTAAAAAGATGTTATCCATAAGCAGAATCAAAAACTTTTATGTAAAAGAAAATCCTAATAAGACCTTGCTTTTATATTTGTCAATCTTTGTCCACTTTGATAGTTTGAACCACATTTGTATGTCATTACACTTTCATTCATAATTCACTGAAAGTAATACAGGTATTTAGACTAACACAATAAGGAAACAGTTCACAATCAAATTCCTATTTGCTTTAAAATACAGGAAGGTATTTGTTTTCTTTTTTTATTCTACTTAAGCTCAGTAGAAATACTGCTCCATTAAGAGGTGCTAAATTACACTGCTCTTTTACTTTTGTGCTTTCATTATTTTTTCTTCAATCATTTGTATTTTTAAAAGATCACTTCCTGAAACAACTAAGAGAACTTAAATCCAGTGGTGGTAGCCCAGTCAACAATAAGAGCACTATATTTCTAACTGCACAAGCAATATCCTTCCATTGCTGAGCAAACATTCAGCGTTTTATCCTTGAGGATAAATTTCAGTACTCTAATTTCAGACAGATAAAAGACCTTTACTAAATTTGACAGAATAAACATTTTCAACACATTGAGGCAATAAGGAAAACTTTATATGTATGTGTTTGTTTGTATGGGTTTTTGTTTTGTGGATTTTGGGTTTTTTTGTTGTTGTTCTAAGTTGACTACAGCAATAGCTTAGTATAAGCACAAAGTCCTTACTGATGAACCATACATGAATACATACCCTCCTTATTAATTGCTTCAATCTTTGCGGGGTAATATCGACAATCTGTCCAACGAGCTAGGACTTCTTCACCAGGCTTAAAATCCTATTTAAAAAAAAAGTTATTAATATTTTAAGCACTTAAACTTTTTCCTACAAAGACTTAAACATTACATACTAGGGAGATTTGACGCAGGAAACCAAGTAGGACAGTTTTCCAAAAGCAGTGATAACCAAAACGGACGTGCCACTTACAACAAATTCTTCATCGTCTTTCAGCCCTTCTTTCCTTAATGCTGGTCGCTCCAAGGGTCGCAACCTGTTGCTGTCCCAGTAAATCCACTCATCATAGCGATGACTCCAACGTTCAAAATGGACCAGCATCTTCCCCTCCTCATAGTCTATCTTCTCAATACGAGATGGATACCTTGAACAATAAACGCAAACTGATATTCAAGAGTTTTGGTGCTCTGGGTTTATTTTGCATATAACAGCACTTACATGACTACTGCAAAATTTATACTAACAAGTTACACTAACATTTTGTATTGAGAAATCTCCAAGTCTAAAAAAAAAAATAAATAAATAAATCAAGATGCTACATACTACATGTTATCCTACTATTAGTTTAAGAGTGATCTATACACAGCAGCGATGCCATCAGCTTTATCAAAGGATGCAAGTCTGAAACTGCCAGACTAAAGCTGCCTGAAATGGGCATTAGAAGTTTGTGTTCTAACAGCTTTAAAACCTGTGCTTATTTGAAGCAAAAGCCTGTAACAATTTTTGTCATATGAGGATAAGTAGAACATAAAATAAGTAGAACATAAAACACATCCATTACTTTTAGTAAATTAAATACTTCATTAAGCCATTTCATGCACTGCAGACAAATCTGAGCAACTAATCAAATCCAGAGGTCAACAGAACACTCTTAGTCTAAGTCACTTTTTAATTTGTGGATTTCACTGACATTAAATTTGATTCACAGAGACCTTTTTTTGGACAATCACCATTTTGTAAGCACGCATGCATTGAAATATGTATGCCACTTAATCTATGGGTTTTCCTCACAGCAAATGCAGTAGTATGCAATCTGCAGGACTAATCAGGACAACCACACTGAGTCCTAGGCATCATTTGGCTGTGGCAGATGCAACAGATTCTGACAAATTTGTATTTCAGGAACCATAACAATTTGGTAATGTTTTAAGGAAAAAATGGCAAATTTCTTTAACTTCAGCAATAACTACTGAACAAAGTGATGTATTGCACAAAATTGAAGCAGGGCAGCAAGTCACAAACACTTACACTTTCCCAAACAAAACTCATTAGATACCCTTCTACTATATGAAATGCAGAGAAAATTGGAATGAAGCAGAAATCAGTTCTTCCTACATGTAACAAGAATACTGAAACAATTTCATAAGTGCAAAGAATCTCTGAATTAGAATATCATATTTTCTCCAGAGTTTATGATCTGGGTAACACAACTGAACTAGAAACAATTTCTCACGTCCAAACAGCTAACATAATAGAAGAACAGAGGAAAATATGGATGGCCTAAAGGTAATAAAAAATGCATTAAAAGAAAGGTCACCACAAAAAGACAGCTGTCTTCCACTTTTGTTAAGAGATAACCTGTTCCTCAAACAAAATGTCCCTGCTGAGGAATAATAAAAGTGCAGAGTCTGAGCAATCAATTTTCAGTCCTAATGCACACCTGAATAGTCAGAAATGCATTCAACATTTAAAATGAAGAACACAGTTATCGTACATTTTCTCTTAAAATACTGAGGATGATGAAAAAAATCTTTAACACTATGTTCCAATTGAATATATTAAATTTTCTGGCAACTATAAGGCAAAGGGCATTAAAATAAAAAAAAAACATCAAACCCAACTTGTTCCTTCACCCTGATAATTTCTCCAGACTTACTTCCTCAGTTGCTTCCCCACATACAGCAGCTTCCCAATGTCTAAACTTTTCAGAACCAGGGACAGAAAAATTCTCTTTGATTTTCTAGGTTATTTCTGCATCAACTTCAGCCACATCTCATTCTTGCACCAGAACATGTGAAGAATCAACTGTCTTATTTCATTTCAATCATCCATGTATTTCAGAAATGTAAAGCATCTTCATAGCCAATTCCATAAGTTCCTAACTTAGTTCCATTCAACTTCACAAGCCAACATTTCAACCCCACACTCCAGATGAGTTTTCCACCCTACCAAAAAATGTTTTCATTGATAAGAATTCCACTGAACTTTTCCAGAGGAGCAATATGATCAGCCTCCTTTCACTTCTAAAGTAGGTTGATAACAATAAAAAAAGGAGAGTGAAACTAATATGTTCTACCAAGACAGAAAGCAAAATTCATAGGTCATAAAATCATGTCATTTTGGTTTAAGAAATCTCACCTTGGTAAACATACTGGTTTAACTCTGAAAAAGAGAGTTTTAAGAACATAAAGGCAGACAAGAATTGGTTTTCCCTGTCTCTGACCATCATTTCTTCTCAAGTCTACAGACTTCCACCCTAATTCCATTCCATTCCATTCCTTTCTTTGCTTTCCAAAGTCCTTTGACAAGTAACTAGTCAGGATGTGTCAGAATAAGCAGGAAGAGTAGCAAAGCAAAAAGCAGCAAAAAGCAGCAGGGACATCTGGGTCCATCCCCTGCTCAAGCAGGGATATGCAGAGCAGGGTGCCAAGAACCACATCCAGGCAGCTTTTGGAGTTCTCCAAACAGACTTTATAGCCTCTGGGCAACCTGTAGCATAGTTCAAACGCCTGCACAGCATAGAAGTGCTTCCTTATGGTCAGCTATAACTTCCTTTTGTGCCCACTGATTCTTGTCTTGGCTGAACACCACTGAAAAAAGCCTTGCTCCATTTTTTTTTTTTTTTTTTTAGTAAATTTATAGTTACTACAGGAAACATATGGGTAGCAACATTACCTGAAAGAGTTCCAAACAGAAGCAAAAGACTATACAAGTACTTAACAGATCGAAGGAAGGAAAAACCCTGAAGAAGGACTTCGAAGCAATCAAAAATGAGAGCTGAAGCACAAAAATGAGAAGCACTGAAGCTGCAGTAGTGACATGAAAAACAAAAGCAAAGGTATTCTCTCATGACATCAAAAAACTGTTTAACGAAATATGAGAAAGAAGGTGATACAAAACTATGGCTGCTTTATGAAAATTGAATTATTTTTCTAGGCATTTCCACAGTAATATTTTAGTTGTTATGACACTGTCCTACAGCATTTCTCTTGCTAAAGTAGGTTTAACTGCTCATCAGCAGCACAATCACCATTTTGAGAATTGTACTTTGAAGTAAAACAGAAAAGAAAAATGAGGAGAAGATTGTACAATCCTGGAAAAAGAAAACAGAGTAAGAAATGAAATACAAGAGATAGCTTGAGGCAAGTGTACGAAGTGAAGATAGTTTTAAGTAGAATTCAGCTAGTCAAGATTCGAGACTAACATATTTGGAGAATAAAAATAAAAAGAGAGCAAAGCTAGAAGTAATTAATAAAATTAAGGATGCAAAACATGAAGTCTCACTAGGGTAAATCCAACTCAAAGTTCATTTTCCTTTGAGGAATACAGGTAGTGCTAACAAAGCCCATGATACTGCTTTCAAACAGCTAAAACCTAAAACAACAACATCACAGTGTCTTTATTCCAGTAATCTCTGCTTCTTCAATGTGTGTTAAGACAGTGATGACAAGCTCAATAAAGCCAAAACCTGCACTGAAGTCCAGACCTCAGGGATGCATGTTTTCAGAGATCTCCCTACCAATCAAGCTTCATGCCACTATCATTAGGCAAACCAAAGATAACATTGTATGGATTTAGCAACAAGATGCTGCTCTCAATATCCTTTAAAATTAGCCACATAATGTGCCACAACTGTATAAACAATTGTGCATAAACAGCAACATTTCACAGCACCAATCCCACAGTGGAAAAGACAAGAGCACACACTGCAGAATTTACTATTGGAAATGTTGCACAGAAGCCATCTGTGCAAACGAACAGTAAATTATCCTCTAAAATATTGAGGAACTTGTGCAGGAAAAAAAAAAGCCACACTCCAGTTCAATAAGGAAAGTGTTTTTCCTATGGCAAGGAATAATAACCTGCAACACTTGTTGGCTGCTTTTATTTTCACTAGTGTGCAAGCATACGTGAAACTGTATTGAATTATCACAAAAGAAGTCTTGTCCAGTTGTTGTTTTTTAAGAGAGAATAGGGGAACTACTGATAGTTGATAGCTTAAATATTCCACGTTCTCTGTTCTCAAGTTCCAGAGATACCAACTTTTAGGAGTTCTGCAACATTTCAGTGAACCTGCAAAACGTGTATGGCTTACAAAACTTACATCATGAAACAAAATTGCTCCAACACTCAAATAGGAAAAAATAATGTGAAAATTTCCAGTTCTTATTTCCAGAAAATATATTTTTTTTCCAGTCAACCAATAAATAGCCACAACTGCAATGTTCTTCATTCTTATAGTGCCTTACATTTGTCCCTTCAAAAGTCACAACAGCCAGTAAATTACCATGTGAGGTGGGAAAATAGAGATTTCAAATTATAAATACTTATGCAAAAACACTATGCAATTTCTCAGTTTGCAGCTAAGAAAGACATGAAATAGACACATACTTCCTGTTTTCACAATAATGTATTAAAAAAATGTTTCCTTCTGCCTCATAGAGGATAAAACAGTAAGTGTGCTCCATTCCGACCTATCCGCAAATAGTCTTCCTGTATTTAAATAGTCTACAAAACCTATTCCTACCTCCCCACCTTCTACCCTACGTTTTGGCAATAGTCTTGTGCTCCTTCAAATAACCAACTATCAGGTAATCCAGTCAACTGAAATCTAAAGCGAGGTCTAAAAACTAACTTTACCCAAAGCATTACAAGCAAGAACCTTCCCTTCACACGTTCTTCCTTCACACATCCTTCCCCATTCAGGGGAACTGGGGTAGCATTGCCCCTCTTGCTGTAAGCAAAGATCAGGTTAGTGACCACCTGAAGAATCTGAACACCCATAAGCCTACTGGTCCTGATGAGATGCATCCCATTCTCTACAATATTTAAAAAGTCACAGCAATCAGGTGAAGTCCCTGGTGACTAAAGAAAGACAGCATCACACCCATTTTTAAGAAGGGTAGAAAGGATATCTCAAAACTACCAGCCCATCAGCCTCACCTCAGTGCTAGAGAAGATCATGTAGTAGATCCTCCTGGAAGTTACAGAAACATATGGAAGAGAGGAAAGTAAACGGGATAATCAGCATGGTTTCAACAAGGACAGATCACACCTGATGAAACTTGTCTCTTCTTATGATGGTGTAACTGCACCAATGGACAAGGAAGAGCCACTGATATCATCTATCCAGACTTCGGAAAGGCCTTTTTACATGGACCCCTCCCCTAAAACATCCTTTCCTTAAATTGGAAATATATGGATTTGATGGGTGGACTGTTCAAAGGACAAGGAACTGGTTACAATATTGGTACCCAGGGGTCAATGGCTTGATGTCCAGATGAAGAACAGTGACAAGTGGTGCCCTTCAGGGCTCAGTACTCAGACTGATGCTCTTTAATATCTTCATCAGCAACACTGACAGCACAGTTGAGCTCACCTCAGCAAGTCTGTGGATGACACCAAGCTTGATTGGACATAAGAAAAAATTTGTTAACACTAAGGGTGGTAAGGAACTGGTTGTCCTGAGAGGCAGTGGACGCCCCATCCTTAGTGACATTCAAGGTCAGACTGGACTGGGCTTTAAGCAATACTTCATTAAGAAGTACTGCCGTAAGACATCCTTCTTCACTGAGAGGAGTTGGACCACATGACCTTTAATGGTCCTTTCCAACTCAAAAGAATTTATGATTTTATGGTACTAGAAAAAAATAAGTAAAACAAAACATGCCAACTCAAAGTGCTATTATTCTGACAATTAACTTATTTGAATGACTTTTTCCATTCCAGAGCTTTAAGAGCCATATGCCTGTATTTCCAGTGGTATATAATTCACAGTTTGATTTTTCACACACAATTAACAAACATTACGTCTCAGAAAAATAACTGTCTTGAAGGCAATACCTGCAACTTACGGGACAATCAATAGTGAGCTGAAGTCACAAGAAAACGGAAGAAAAAATACCTACTATTAAATATATTAACTTCACACAGACTGTGTACCACTTCATGGGAGCTATCAGCCTAAGAACCATTCTTACAAATGGGCACATAGTTACAATATACAGTTCTACCACTGTTTCATTTGTTTTGTCAGTGAGAGGTATAAGTAGCTGCCCACGTGTATCACTGTTTATGAGATTGTAAGATATCAGGTATCAGTGTTTATGAAATTATAAGAAACCTCAGAAAGCTTCCACTCACTCAAGGCAGGGTCACTGGCAGAATCACAGCAGGTTGCCTAAAGCTTTATCCAGTCCAGTCTTAGAAGCTCCAGCCTTGGAGACGCCACAAACCTCTTTGGGCAGCCTGCTCCACTGCCTGTCCTCATGAGGAAAACCATTCTCCTATCTACCCAGCCTGAAACCCTTCTTTCAGATTCTACTGTCGTCTCTATCCTCCCACTACACACTAGAGCTTGTCTAAGTCTTCATCATTGCCATCGCTGGTTGGTCTCCTGAAGTCTTCTATCCTACAAGCTGAACAAACCTAGTTTACTCACCTCACCCTCATGGGTCTCATGCTCCAGGTCCCTGACTACTGACTAATTTTCTATTATCAGTCAATCCCACCTCCTTCACTACTTGCTGACAGATGATCATGTGGACTTTGTTTAGAGCTGCATTTCATAATGAATTCACCTCTGCAAGTTAAAATTTAACAAGTGAAACAAATTCATTGTCTCAGGTCATCTCCCCTGTAACTCAACGTTTTTCAGTTCATAATGAAGCAACTGGGATCACCTCCAAAATAAAGCAAAACAACATGAAAAATAAACAGTCTCACTGACAGCCTGCCTTTACTGATGAGTTTGTCTGTGCTTTCCACTGCTCAGTTCTCACACACAACAAACATCATAACCCAAAACACTGTCTGCAAAAAACTTATTTTTAAAAGCAATTAACAGTGAAGACCCACAATATCTCCAAAATTTAAGAAATTCAAACAATGTATCAATTTCCATTAGGTAAATTTCAGCAACTGCTGAAAATTTACATGCTGTAGAAACATCTCTAAAAGCAAAATTCATGCAGAATTTTAATAATTATGCTCTTCTTTAATCAAGAAAAGATTATCATTTAAAATTTATTGTTTTGTGAGCATTGGATCTCTATATAACAGGAGGCTTTCTTAAAAAACAAAAGCAAACCCCCTTTTACATTATGATGACAACAATGTTATTTTTGAGCAAATGCTTTTCTTCACTCTGGTTCTTGTAGTAATACTGCTCTTCATTTTTAGCTTTACTAAAAAAAACAAAGATTCCATATATGCTAAGCAACTTTTCTTTTTTTTTTTGAGATATGTTCTATTTCTGCAGGCATATGAGGGGAATGCCTATAGTGTACATATATAGCAAGGATTTAAAAAGCATCCACCACCACCTTATGCAACAGTTACACAGCTAAGAGACTGTTATCCTAAGAACATAACAGTAGCTCTTACCTAAAAAGCTTTTTGGTTATGTGCACAAATATTATTTTGTTTGAAAAAGAGCCTTGTTCCCAGTATCCGACACAAATGCAAAATTTGAATATTAACTTCCTATTCCTATATATGGCATCACTGTTCACACACGTAAAACTTGACCTATTCTATCCAATAGTCCAGATGGTGAATCAGTTCCTAGAAAATTTAGAATAAACCCTATTCTGCCTGAAAATACCAAGCACTCAGCTACAGTTGCTGCTGGGCATTCAGTTAAAAAATGAGTAATTTGGAAATCTTTCTACAGCAACAAATAAGAACTGTTTTTTAAAGCCTATTTTTCCTTCAGAGAGTCTTTATTAAGACAAATTGTTTGGCTGTATTTAAAGCCTTAAAGGAAAAAAAAGTTAAGCTTTTTTATACAGACACGGAGTAATCATGGAAATAATAGTCTTCTCATCACATAATTTGGAGTTAGCAGGATCAAATATTTACATGAACATTAGGATGCTCCGTTCTCCAAAAACCCATCAGAGCAGTAGGTACAGGCCTTTACGCTTCCCTAGTACTAACCAGTTAACCAGTCATGCTTGGCAGCTAAGAAAAAGCTTCTGGATAGATGCCCCAACTACTAACCAGACCTTCTCCAAACTGAAACATCATGGTCAGCATATGCCATGAAACTACTCTACTTGCATTAATTAAATTTTGACTAAGAATTTATCTTTCAAAGAACTCCTTTCACAACATATATGCAGTGTAGCAGCATCCTTGTGCCCAACAGGTTCCCATTTTATACTAACAGCTATTACAGAACACCTGGTGGCAGTCACAGTTCTAAGCACTCTGCTCCTCCAGCTGTTTGATGCAAACATACCTTACCTGCTCCATGGACTCTGATTAAGGATGTTTTCCTTTCTTAAACTAGTTTTACAATCCTAGGAGGTATAACAGTGGAATAGAAAAACCTACTCGCATACTTTCAAACTTAAAACAAAATTAGTCTTCAGTCACAGAAGTCTGCCACATTAACACATCTGGTTATCTTGCACATCACACTGATGTACTCTAGAAAAGTTTTTCAATTACTATGGTTTCACAAGCAACTAAAATCACAGATCCCACAGAAAAGTGCTGTCTGATTTCTGAAGAGAGAGTATTTACTTACACCTTGAAAGTCCTTTTAAAAAAGCATCTATAAAGTTATGAAGTTCTTACATAAAACAGACAATTAGTAGATATACTATACTTTCAGTTGAGCATCAAACCATACAATACACACAGAATAATTTTTTTTGCTGGCAAACACTACACAGGGTCTTCCATACCATTTTTGTAAATAGTCCAGTGCCTCCAAACGAGCACCAATCTCAAATGTGATTCCAGGACGATTTGGAGGCTTTTTACTCATCTTGATATTCTTTTTCACTACCTTTGGAGGAAAAAAAGAAAGATCATATTAAAGCACATAACGGTGTCTAAAAGGTGCCACTGACAGCAAACACATACCAGAAGTTGGAAACATTACGAAGTTTCTCTCCAAATTTTCATTTTATTGCTATTAGATGCTTTGCCTTTGGTAGTGTACTTAAGATCTGAACAAGGCATTCAAAAAACCTGTTTTTGATTTCTCCGCGCCTTCCTTTCAGAAAAACTAACAAACAAGCAAACAACAGTCATCAACCTGAAGCCTAATTCAGAAAGACAAAACTTGTGCTCACGTCTGAGATGTTATGCTGTAGATCCTTGATGTGTTTTTGGAACATACTTATCGGAAAGACTTAGAGTAAACCCCGAATAAGTCATAAAAAACAAGTTGGAAAACCAACCACTACAAATAACACAAATGAAAAGACAAACATAGCCTAAAAGGCAAGTTAAATGAAACTACCAAAAACAAAGGGAAAAAAAAAAAAAAAAGGGAGTGGGGGGAGGCATCTTCAGCCTTTCCATGCAGTGTTGAGTCTCATTCTTACCACTAAGTATGCTCCATTGAAGATTGTCTTATTTTTTCAGTAATTCAGTCACTATCAGAAAATGATTTTCCTGCCCTACTACCCTTATGACCGCGAGCGGCCGTTCCACCGCCGCCGAGCACACAGCAGCTGAGGAGGCCGCAGGCTCCCGCCGCACGCCCACTGAAGGGTGCCAGGCTGCACGGCCAAAGCCTTCCTCGCCCAGACCACCAGCGAAGCAGCACCAGAACCCCAGTTTTTCAGCCGGGCTCAAGTGCCCGAACCGGCAGCGCGACCCCAGGCAGCCGCCTCAGAGAGGGAGCGGGCCGAGGGGCTCGCCGCCGCTTGCCAAGGACGGCGGGCACAAAGGGGCGCCGAGCACGGGTGGGCCCCCACCGGCCGGGGCCCCGCCGGAGAACCAGTACAGGCGCGGCCCGCCGGATCCCGGCACGGGAAAGGCTGCAGGAAAGGCTGCGGGAGCGGCCCGGCCAGGCCCGGAGACCGTGAGGGGCCGCGGGAGCCCCGAGCCAGGCCGGGCCCTCCCGGAGGGTGCCGGAGACCGGGGCCACCCGCCCCGCTGCCCGCGCTCTCCGCGCGCTCCTTACCGCCTCCTCCGACTCTCAAGACGGCGGCGGGGCCCTTGACGGCCCGCAGCCCCGGCGCGGCACCCGCTGCTCCCGCTCGGCGCGGCGCGGGGTGTCCGGCGCGGTGGCCGCCCTCAGAGCCCCATCCTCCCCGCGCCCCGCCGCCGCGTCACCGCTCTGCGACGGCTCCGCGAAGCGCGATAGGGCGCCGCCATGCCACCGCCGCCCCCGGCACGTGACTGCGGAGCCGGTGATGCGGGCGGAGACAGAAGAAGGGAGGGAGACAAAGAGAAGCTGCCGCGCGCGTGCCCGGCCGTGATTGACAGCTGCGGTGGAGGCGGGCTCGGAGCTTTGTGGAGGCCGTTGGCGGTGGTTGGTGTGGGGCTTATCGCCTTGCTTTGCGTTGACTGAGAGATAACAGCTCAGGCCTGGCGATTGGGTTCTGTGCTGCTGCTCTGGGAACTATCTCACGGAGACAAGTCAGCGATTCTACCTTCCCGTTCCTTTGCTTAATACAGCTGAGAATACTGCTAAGCTTTGTAGTAAGAGCATGCTGCTGGCTCATGCTCAACTTAAGAGTCCACCAGGAAGCCCACGTCCTTTCCAGCAAATGTGCTTTCCAGTTGCATGGCCTCCTGTGCATCCTGGTGCCTGGAGTCGGTCTTCTCTGGGTTCAGGATTTTCAGAGAATCACAGAATGGCTGGGGTTGGAAGGGAGCTCAAGGATCATGAAGCTCCAAACCCCTGCCACAGGCAAGGCAGCCAGCTTCCATGTTTAATGCTTGATTTTGCAGGGATAGATGCTTCCAGCTTTGTTACAATGGCAAGAACAGCATCATCGCACTCCTACTGGTGTGATGCTCACATAGCAGTCATGTTCCCACAACCTCGCAAAGAAGAAACACAAGCTTCCCACTGTATGCTGTGTTTCTGGAGAATGCATAATCTGGGTTACAGTCAGTTTTTGAGCAGACTTAATGGCAGAGAGCTATTAAGTAAACCAAATTAAAATATATATATATATTTGAGTGGGGCTCAGTGTGCCCCACTCGGTTTTGAAGTTGGGATATAGAGGAGTTTGAGCTCCTTCAGAAGTAGTTGGTACAGAAGTGCAGCTCTTGGCACTTTCATTATCTGTGCTCCACTGGGTTTTCATAGGACAGGTTCCCACTGCACATCTTGCAGTACGTAGAGAAGGTGGGTAGTGTTGATCATGAACTGCACTGATTTGGAACCTCAGGTGCCTATGAACCGTGGAAGAGAATCACACACAGAATCACAGAATCACAGAATCACCCGGGTTGGAAGGGACCCCAAGGATCATGTAGTTCCAACCCCCCTGCCTAGCAGGGCCACCAAACATACACATAAGAGCTTTGCTTAATCCCTGTGAGGCTTCCTCCTGTTGTAAGAAGTGCAGTTTCAATGTGCTTTTCCTCAGAAGATATGTTACAGAACAGTGAGGTTTGTTGTGCTGGAGATGAAACCCCTCCAGCAGCAATGAACATGCAGCATCAGGATGCTGTTAGATGCTTCTGCCTGAGGAGAATAATATGGGGGATAGATAGAAGAGCTACAGGAGATGTGGCTGAACACAGGTGGGTGGTTGAGTCAAGCCAGGGGTTGAATGACAGAGATTGTCTTCTTTGGTATAAGAAAGCCTCAGGGTGATGTGTGGTACTATCACCTCACCTCACTGCGGGAGGTGGAGGCCAGGCTGGTGGCAAGCTTCAGAGGCACCAGGACTAGGGTATTTAGTTAACTGATAAAAGCTCATCCACACACCCACAGAGGAGCACAGAGAGGCAATGGCAGCAGGGAAATCCCCCAGCAGCACCCTCCAATAAGCCAGCAGCACATCATAGTCCCATTTTCACTGAGTAGAGTCCAGCTGCTGGAAGGATCAACCCTATATACATATATATATTTATACGCTCACTCATGGAGTCCATCCTGCTCAGCCAGAGGGAGGAAAAGTATCCAAGAGCTTTTTCTAATTTTTAGCAGAAGAACATCTCAGATATTTAATCTAATCTCTTGGGAAAACGTAGTATGTATGGCTGTGTTCCTATCTGCTTTGCCTTTTCCTTTCTCCTTTTACTTATGAAACTTCTGTCTCACTCCAGGTTTGGCAGAGGGATAGAGGCCTTACAGTATTACCCCAGCCTGTTTTGTTAAAGTGCTCAGGTGGGCAGGGAAAGGCAACCTAGTTGACAGAAACTCTGTGCCTCCACCCCTCCAGACACAGCACAGGCAGGCAGATGCACAAGAGCAGATCTCATTATTTCTGCTCCACGCAAAATTTGGTGCTGAATTTTTTACAAAGCACATTGCCAGCATTGTGAATATTATACAGACCATTAATTGGAAACCAAACTAGATAGGAGATTTTATCTTGCTAGTCAGTGACTCACAGACTTGGAGGGGAAGGAGGATTTCATTATCAGCTGAGCATGAGCTCACGGTATGTTGTTGATGCTAAAAAGGCTACTGCAGTCTTTGCAAAGCACATGCACATAGAAATACTGAGTGGGAGTGGGGAGGTGACATAATCTCTGTACTTGTCACCAGTACATTGTTATTAAAATAACCAACTGCTCAGGAGAGCCGTCCAAAAACTGGAAGGGTTTGGAAAAGATTTGGGAAAATGACCGAACAATTGGAAAAAAATGTGTTATGGTGTGACACCCAGCCATCGGTTTGCTTATTTTGTGATTTATTTTAATTGTGAGCAGTTGTATTCCAATTGCTCTATAAAAAACTTCTGTAAATGTCAGATATTATAGTCACAAGGTGACAGTCGTGGACTAAACCTCCATCTTTGTTTTTACACTTGTTATTGTAGCAGGGCATTTAAAGTGACCGCTGAGGCTTGTATTTAAATAGTGACTGTGTGGTCTCCATCTAGCAAACAAGCATCAGAACCTCTGCTCCAGTCAATTTGTTTGTGTACTGAGCTTAGCTGTAGTCTGGCTCTGCTCTGTCATCATCTATGCTTTTCCTGCCACTTCCTTTGTCCATTTTGATACCCTGCTTGGCATCAGTTACACCAGCCCTGGTCTTTTCCACATTTTAAAGACACCTTTAATGTTTTTTACTCAGTTTCTCTCTAGTTCTTTGCAGGATGCACATAACTCAAGAAATGACTTCTCCCACTGAGCTGGCCATTTGCTGTACAGGTATTGCAGCCCCATCACTGTGTTTTAATGCATGTTGGAGAGGTGACATGAAGCTATAAACCAGGAGTTAGGTTCCCTTGTCGCAGTATTGTAAGTGAAGTATGATGAGGATGCTAAGGAGTGAGGACTGCTAAAGCCAGGTTAGTAGTAAAGTGTGCTTTTACACAGGTAATGCTGACATCAGTGAAAGAGTCCAAATCCAAAGAAAGAAGAAAGATCCTAAGAGGCAGGTAAAGTTATAGGTTACCAGGTTGTTACCCCCTGATGCAGCAACTCTGGACAAAGGCAGCTTTGCTGGACCATGCTGCATATACTAAAGTACTTCCAGCGCAGGCATTTGATATTTCTTGTGGGCACACTCAATATTCACTGTGCTATGAATATTGTTTCCCAGTGAATGTTAGACCTCCTGAGATTTCATTGTGTTTGTGTCTTGGAAGCAGTGCTGTGCAATGTGTTGCTTACTTCTGCCTTACATATTGCAGCCATATGTTTTGGGATGTCTTTTGGATTTGGAGAGGTCTGAACATGTCAATAAACATTTTACTGAATTTATTGAAGAGCCTTGTTAAGAACTGTACTGAATGGAAAAAATTGCTTATGCCTGCTCTGATTGTTCATTGGTTTCCTAGTTTATTTCCCTTTGAGACTGAAATTCAACTTCTAACTTGTGGTGCTTAAGCAGAGTACTTCACTCACAAGCATCCCATATCCCATGGGTAAGTTTTTCATAGTCTGCCATTTTTAAGGGCTGATCTCATGGTGGATGAGGGAAAGGGACGGAAGGAAAATTTTGCCAAGATGACAACTGTATTGGAGTCGCTGTTTGGGTGCTCTGAATGTTTATCTCAAACATGGAGATATTGAGGGATAATTCTGTAAGAGAAAGGGTGAGTCTAATGGATAAATCACTACAAAACTTGCAGTCTAGCAAGGAAAGTTTTGCCATGAAGTTACCAGTACAAATGTGCTGAGAGAATTTGCAACTTCAAGTGAAGGAGAGTGTAACTCCAAAACTCAAATCTGTTCAACCTCTTGCCGTCCAGCACTGAGAATGAAAACAGATGTCACACCTGCCAGCAGGCAATGCCAATCATTTTGCATCATCAGTGATACATTTTCCTATCTCCTTTGTAGTCCTGGTGTGTCTGTAGGGCTGTAGGATGATTGTCAACACAGACTAGCTCTGAGTGTCCAACTCTGCTTGTGGTCTTGCAAAACATTTGTTTATGGGATGTTTCTTGTTTATTGATATTTGTCCTTTAGGTCTGTGCTGACATCCCATTGACAGTTTTCTACAAGTTTTGGTCTAAGTTCTCAATTTCTTGCTAGGTCACACTCAAATCCTTGATCATTATACAGTGCTGGATAGCTTCCATTCTGTAAACCCACTCTGCCTCCAGTATATCATGATTGTCTATGGTATATGAAGGCTGCATGTGCCTTTTCCTCTCTCTAGCAGTTGAGTTAGTCCAGGAAAGCACCTTCAGTTCAGCTGGAAATGTGAGAAGTATGACAGAGGAACAGCTGGAAAAACTGTTCCAGAAAAAGTTCCAGAAAAGCCTGCAGACTTTCTGTACAAACTTCACAATTTTGGATTTTGTTTAAATACTGGCATATAGACAGAAAGAGATTCAGTCACTGCCAGTCTGCGGTAGTTATTTACATACAAAATGAGAGATGGCTCCTAAGGATGCTGCATAAAACAGCATGCAAGGCAGACATTTTAAAGAGTATCATTAGAGTATTACTTCCAATTGATATCTGTCTTCATTTACACACTCAACGGTATAATTTGCTATGGAAATGACCATGGCATCAATACTATCTGTAGTTTTCCATGCCTCAGGCACCATTAACTTTCTCAACTATACCTTTTCAGTATATATTATCTTTTAGCATTATATAGTATCTAGAAGCCTTCACTGCACAGCAATACTAGACCTTCCACTATTGTTTCGTGAAGATCACATCAAAACCATCACAGAAATCAGCCATGGTCTCAGGTACGCTGATAAGCAGTACATCACTTCCAGAGAAGCACTGATTTGAATTAGGGGATTTGTAAAGAATCGAGGCATCACCCTAGCAAAATTTCAGATCTGTCTAGATAGAGCACCTGGCTAGTACACTAAAGATGTGTATGTAGGTCACCTGCTCAACTTTCGAGTACCGCTGTGCGTGTGGGCTGCCCAGCTTTACCTGAGCTGACATGGAATATAGGCAGCTGAGTCTTCACCATGTCTGGTGGTTTCTTTCTAGGTTGACCACATTGTCCTTGGGTTTGTATGTGCCCTTTGTACTCTGCAGAGCTGACAGTGATCCATCTCCTCATAGTGTCCTTCTTGGCTTACTCACTGTCCCTTCCATTTCTGTTTGCATGTCCTGAGGTGATGGATGTAGATGTGCTCTGGGAGCTTGATGATCAGCTGGTCAACATGCTGTCAGCACATGTCATTCATATAGTGCCTCCCCTGCCACCCCAAACTCCATTCCCACTCAATCCCAGTTCATACCAGCAGTCAGTGCATCAGTGTTTCTACTGCAATTCTTGATAGAAGATGCAGCTAAAGATTTTTGGCTAACAGCTCTGTCTGTTTTGACCACCTGCAGATATTCCTGAAGTCCCAGTTTGTGACCTTTTATAATTAATCTAAACAATCCCAGTTCCCTCAGCTGCTCCTCATAAGACTTGTGCTCCAGACCCTTCACAGCTTTGTTGCCCTTCTCTGGACATGCTCCAGGGCCTCGATGTCTTTCCTGTAGAGAAGGGCCCAAAATGGAACACAGTTCTCAAGGTCTGACCTCTCAAGTGGTGAGTACAGAAGGTATGCAGGGTGTGAGTACAGCAACTGGAGTCAGACCGTGAGTCAGAGGTCCTGTGCATTTGTGAAGCAGCAACTGGAGAGACGATAGACAGAAGAGAGAAAAACAAAGCAGCAGCCATTGGGATGGGACCGCAGAGTCACACAGTAAGTGACGACTGGTGAAGATCAAGCTGGACCGGCTGGTATTGAAAGCCTAGGAGAAGAGCAGAAATACATGTGGGGCTCACTGCTGTAATTTCTCATTTCCTTCCGTCGGTTGAACTTGCAATTTATGCAACTGACCTAAAACTACTGCACAGCAAGACTGCTAGTGTATTAGTTTCTTATAATTTAAACTCATAAGGCTGAGGTGGAGCATGGGTTGGGCTAGGAAGTTTGAGGAACAATAGGGAAGGCTGTAGAAAACATGCATGGAAATAGTGTTGCACTACATTTTCTCACTGGCATTATCCTACTAAATTAAAAGAAGTTATACAAAAGGAATATGCCCTATGGTTACAGTTCTGAACAAAAAGACCTTAAAATACTCATTTTAGATTGGCTATCATGCAGAAATTTTTTTGTAATATTGTCTAGTTCCTATTTCGTCTGCTTTTCTGTGAGGTGAGAATTTTCCGTTCATTTGTTATCAGTGGAATTGTTTTTCCTTCTCCAAGGAGAAAACTGTCATCAAACTAAAGGCTCATGTTTTATTTTTGTCAGTGATGCAAGCAGACTACAAGAGAGATGTAGCATATTGTACCTGTTTTTCTGGAGAAAGTTTTGCTCCCACAGCTGTATGATTCTTAGATGTCAATTAGTTAGTTTAAATTATTTTTGTATATGTAGTAGTTCTGTAGAACTGCTCAATCATTTTGATTGACAGGACTCAGAAATTTTCTCTGTTCAAATGAATTGATCTTAACTCTGCATGATATGTATTAGCAATAATGTTTTGACCACGGAACATAAACAACTGTGTACTCTTGACAAAGACTTCTTTCGAATAATATCTTGTTATCTTTAATATCTTTTGCAAGATATCTTGCTGCTGTGTGTGGATTTTGTGGTAGCTGTCTTGCATTCCTAAATGGAAGCCTGTCAGGCTCCCAGACCAGCTCACTGGCTGTTTCGCTGAATACACAGGGTGACTTGGTTATAGCACTTCAAAGTTTTCTGAGTAAGGTAGAAAAGTGAAGCTGAAACAAAATTCTGACCACTTTTCTTTATAAGAAAAAGGTCTTTCTTCTCAGCATTGTATTTGAAACAAATGTTTATCCGTTATTTATAGTCAGTGTGCTACTATATCGCAACAGTCTGCAGGAACGTTCGTTCCCTGGGCTAATCTTAATCTTCAGTTTACTCTTTCAACTGAATGCTTCTGATGTGAGGCTTCTTGACAGGAAGCATGACCTCATTCTGCCTCTGTGCTTCTGATTGCATGGGCTGTTTTCAAAAGGAAACAAGGGACTTCACAGCTTCCAAAAACTCAGTGCAGTTCTGCGCCAGGAAGCTGCAGAAAGAGCACCCTACACACACGTCTCAAAGGCTCTGGTGTTGATGAGAAACTTTTTGGCATACATTTTTTCATTGTGAAATGGATTTTCCAGGTTTGGAAGATTTTACATATATTTATCTCTTAGTTGAGAAATGATTAACCTTTGAATTATTGATATTCTGCTCTTCAGGAAGGTTTGCATTTTTTCTGGATGTTGTTATAGTTATTACCTGCAGGGAGAAAAGATATGAAAACTCTTCAATAATGACTGATATGTGTGAATAAATAAAAATATTTTTGTAGACACTTTTATTTGGTAGATACTATAGAATAAATCTGGTTGCCTGAGGTTCAACTATTGTAATAGTTAGACCTGTATTTTATTACTAATGTAAATATTTACGATTTTTACATGCACAAGTTACTGTTAGCTATCAATTAAGGTTGTCATTGTGTTAAGGATTAACTTAATTTGGGGAGGGAAAGTTCCGGTTTGCACAATGACTTTTTGTTATGACACAGGTTTCCAGGTGGTCTGATATGAAGGAGAGGCTGCGTTAAACTTTGAATTGAATTCTTGTCGTAAAACAGTGCCATGTTCATCTTAAATTCAATTTTATTGAGATTTCTGAGAGTGGTTGGACTTCTCTCATGCCATAGTTAGAATTCTGTATTGATGCTCATTTTGTGGTTTACATATACATCCGATTAAATGTACAGTGGTGGTTCAGAAGCTTTGTTTTGGCTTCCTTATTATTGTTACTATTGCTACTCACACTATTAATAGCTGGCAAATGGAGCTGAATCTTAAATGCAACAGGAACACTGTGCAGCATTGTCTGCAACATGATGTTTATAAGTCTTCTCCAGCACTGAATTAAGACTGCCAAGAACCCTCTTCATTAATACATACGCCAAGAATTGTCGTTAGAGAGTTTGGAGGAGCAATCCGTTGGACTGCCTGTTACATGCCTGTTTATAGAAGCCTGGCCTTACCATTACTTAAAATAGCTTAAAAGCAAATTACAACAGCTCAGAAACTTCTTAGAAAGAGAGAAATTCATCATCTCTCCAATAATATATATGTGGAGATCTCACTTCCCATTTTAACATATGTACATACTCTGTTTTACCTGAAGTACTACTTCAGATAAACAAGAGCCCTGTGGAGACAGACCTGACGTACCTCACGACTTCATGAGGCACTTGTACTAGCAGCAGATGGACTGTAGTTTGTTCTGGCACTTTGTTCAATACTTTTTAATGACAGCACTGTCCATATGTAAGCCACTATTCTGAAGAGTTGGTCTTTGTTAGTGGTTGCTGCTTTGCAATAACATAACCAGAGGAGTAAAGTGCAATACAGTGACGACACAAGTTTCAATAGCTAGAAAGAAGTTTAACTCTCAGATTGTTAAAGAACTGAAATAGATTTGATTGATGCAGAGGTATTCCTTCCCACTCCTTTTCAAACAAATCTGCCCTAGAGCCAATCACTTTTGTCTAACCTATAACATTCAGTGGTGTATTGTAACTAATACTGTGTTATATATTCATGTTAATACTTGACACTTCCTGATTTTAAAGCGTTGCAAAATCAATCATAACTCCCTCTTTTTTTTAAACTCTTTCACAGGCAATCCACACTGCCTATTGTTCCCGAGTGTATGAACCAGTCCTTTTCAAGATGTATGGAATGTCACATGTTACAGCAACACCACGAGGAAGTAAATTTGTGCACATTTGTCTGGGCTTTTGATAAAAACACTTTGGTGTGGAAGGATTGTGGGTGGCTGACAAAACTTGGGGTTAGATCTGCTAACCTAACCACGTGTTGAGTTTTTCCTGCATTCTCACTTAGTGTTCAGATAAACCTCTTTTTTTGAGTGTAATACTTTGCATAATTGAAAGTCATGATTGTATGCATGATTTTGCCTACAGTAAGAAAAAATCTTTCAGGAGCTAATTGTGTACGAAACATAGGTCTACAACATGTCAGTCAGGGAAACACGCAATGCCTATCTTTTGGGCAGTTTGTTGTGTGACATTCTGGCTGATGCTGCTTGACATCTTGTACCTCCACTCCAGATTGTTTTTGCCTGGAGAAAAACATAGAGCGTGTTGGTTTTTTTTCCCACTAGAAAGTGAAATATGTACTTTTGGAATGTTAGAGAAACAGTATGCATGGGAATAGCATACTGGGACTACCAAAGGGGGAATGCTGACCTTTATGCATTTTCTTTGCCTCAGCTCGTACTTCAACATTAAAAAAAAATCCTGTCATTCATCTATCTTCTCTCACAGGGGAATGACAGGCATTTACTAATAGCATGATGCTCTAGAGATACCAGAGAGATAAGGAAAGATTGTATCATCTATAATTTTATGTAGCAACAGGTATGAATCTGTTATTAATATATATAGATATATCCCTCTGCTTAGCCATTGCTCATATTTTGTAAGATTGACTCTGACAGCTGCTGAACATCTGGCAGCATTTTGCAAACTTGAGCTGTGGTAATCCAGACAAATCCTATTTATTTCCTTAGTTTCCTGCCACAAAGTTAGTGTCAATTTTTGTCACTGTCTCTATCCCTATGCCTATTGTGGCATGTCAGCAAATTTTGTCTGAAAAAATGACAAAATGAAATACCTTAATGATAATGGTGGTCCTTCCATTCCTCTCTGTAGCTATAACAAGTATGTGCACTATTTTCAGCATGAACCAGACTTCTGGGCAAACACCATTAAAATTACTGTAGCTATTGCTTTTGTACCAATAATTATATACCCCAAGGTAATAACCTGCACGGATATTTGACTATAGCCAGCTCTGATTCTGTGCTGTCCTGATTGAGGTGATGCTAAACAGTCCTGCCAGAGTCAGTGTGCCTTTCCTCCATCCTTTTATTTTTCTCTTCCTATGTTTTTGTTTAGCTTATTCATGGTCTTTTGATTTCCACAAGGTGCCTGTCAATGAAGACCTGTCAACTGGGGAAGTTGTCAGTGAATATGATAATGACTCTTTCTTATTTGGCCTCTGTAGGTTCAACAGTGCTTGATGGAGAACACAAGCACAGCCTCTCAGAACATATTTATCAGAGGTATTGATGAAAATTATACTTGTTTAATATTACTTTTATTTCAGTTGAGGTTTTATAGAGTTTCTAGAGATGAAACTAGTTTATGAAGTACTTCCATGGAGAGTTAAAAGCACTAGCTTTGCAATTATGAGGTTTTGGAATATCTCTCTTCCACGTTCCCTCCCCCTTACTGAAATCATGGTACCCTTTCATGAGATGTTGTATGGGATTCTGAAACCTGCTACTGAAACCCAATTTCAAACACTGTATCAATCCACAGTCTTCCTAGTTTTTTGTGAATATCACTGAACTCAAAGCTGTTGAGAAGAAAGAAGACATCAGAAGTGATTACTTGATTGTAACAGTAGCTCGAGAGCAAAATACTGGAATACTTGTGAGGACACCATGCTGGGGTAGGTGTGGCAGATCTCCTTGGTGAAAGGCACTGCCGCAGAAATGCACCATGCACTTCTCAAGCCAAGCTGCCATAGTGCATTCATGAAAATGCTGCACCTGTTGTGAAACCCTCCTGTAGTCTGATGCTCTGGAAAGTGTGATGCAGACACACTGTGGTTGGCTGAATACCTCCTAGGCATTATCTGCATATTTTAAATCCACGTCACTGCCAGCTCCCGTTAACTGAGTCAATGACATATGTACATTTATTATCATGAAATCATGGTCTTGTACTGTCTAGACATTCTCTGAATCAGAGGTTTTTCCTTCTCTCCTCCTCAGTTATGCTTGCACGTTTCTCGATGACGGCACGGCCCACAGGTGCTGCTCCACAAGCCCTTCGAGAGGCTCCCTCTTCACATGTCGCCGCAGCCCTCGGCTGCTTTCCAATGGTTATTACATTTTGACAGAAGACAGCTTTCTGTCTGATGAAGATGGCAACATAACACTGTCACCATCCCAGACAAGCGTTACCTATAAAGAGAACTCAGTTCGGTAAGCAAACTACATGCAGATTTTACTCCATGCTGGTGATAGGCTCAGTATCTCTGGACTTATCGGAAGATACTTTCATGGCTGCCTGCATTTAGCTTGGCTTAAGATAATTTCTTATTTTTTCTTTATTTGTGTATATCATAAAAACATATAATGGCATAGGTTGAAAGAGACCTTATAGATAACTTGTTTTTAACCTCCTGCCATGGGCAGGGTTGCCACCCACCAGACCAGGCTGCCCAAGGCCCCATTCAACCTGGCACTGAAACGCCTCCAGCAATGGGGCATACAGAACTTTTTTTGGGCAACCTGTTCCAGTGCCTCACCACTCTCTGAGTAAATAATTTCTTCCTACCATCTAGCTAGATGTCCCCTCTTTTAGTTTAAAGCCATTTCCCCTTGTCCTATCACTATCAGATCATGTGATAAATAGGTCTCCCTCCTGCTTGTAAGTTCCCTTCAAATACTGGAAGGTTGCAATGAGGTCTCCCGAGAGCCTTCTCTTCTCCAAGCTAAACATGCTCATCTCCCTCAACCTTTCTTTATAGAAGAGGTGCTCCATCTTCTGATCATCTTTCTTCTGGTCCCATCCCAACAGTTGCACATTCTTCCTGTGTTCAGGGAGTTGTCTCTTCGTAAGAATATCTAAACTGATTTAATTTTTAATTAAAATCTCTTGATTTGCAGTCGTACTAACCCAAAACTGTACAGTACACAGTTGCTATAACTAGAGTTGAAAATGAGAGCTACAACTCATTTTGCCAATGGGATGTTATCAAGATAGGGAATAAAAATATAAGTGTTAAAAGAAAAGTTTGGACCTGCCATTCTTTGTTGGGGAAATCTTTCTCCTTGATTCAGAAAAAGCATTGGTTTAGGATGGGATATAAGATATTGTTCAAAAAAGTACAAGAACAGTGGATCCGGGCTATATCACTTTAGTATATGGTAGGGTGAAAATTGTGGGGAGCGTAAGACCCAACACTCAGAGCAGTATTAAAGTCTGTCAAATGAGGTATCATTTGGTACCACAATATGAAGCATGACAATATCCTGATGCATTACTGTGCTGTTATTACATCCCCTGACATTACTGCAGTGTGCAGCAGTGAACCGTGGTGGTATAGCCAGGTCCACAGCAGAGCTGGGAACAGTACCGAGAATCTGGTTCTTCCATTTCAGTTCTACAAGCTTTTGAGCTCTGCTCCTGCTTCTTAAGAAGTAAGTCTATCCCTCGGCAATGAGCCTTTTCTTTCTAGGATATTCCGTCGCAGGAAGAAAATGCGAGGCTCTCTTGCCAGCTTGTTCAGTTTCAGTGCCTCCAGCCAGTGGCTCAGCAGCACCATTCTCAACACTATGGATTCCTCCCATGTAGACGATCCTTGGCTTGACAAATGCAGTGAACTACAGCCCAGTCAGACTGATACTGGTAAGCTCTGACCATGTACAAAGTAATCTAGCCACATTACAATCTGTATTTAGCAGGAAGTTATATCTCCTCTACTTTTTATTTGGATTGTCTGCCAAAATGCGCAGGTAAAGGATACATGAGCAATCAAATTATGGTGAACTGAGCTCCTGGCATTAAAATTCAGAGACTGTGATTCCATAAGGACTTTTGTGGCAAAAGGGCATTTATAGACTGAGTTTGAACACAAAGACATCACCAGTGACATTTGCCCTGCAGTCATTAATATCTGGCTAAGGCTGCTTTCACCTGGTTATTTTAATATCATTGTGTTATGCTCTATGTAGTTCTGTCTTTGCTCTGCTTACTCTCTCCTGCATACATTGAATTTGCCGTTCCTGCCCCTAACAATTTGAAAACCTTCCTACAATTGTTGCTGTTTTGGTTTGGTTTTGTTTGTTTGTTTCATAAAATCTATTACCACAAATTCTCAAAGCTCATCCTTTGTGAAGTCTCATTTATATATCCACTTTTTATAGACAACTCAGACCTTTCTTGTGAATATAACATCTTAGTGCCACAAGGGCAAATTCCAGCATCTATTGGAGCCTCTCTTACCAAAGATGAGGAGTTTATTGAGCCTGGGAAATCACTGTGTGCCTCACCATCCTGCTCTCCATTTATAATAAATGGAAATAAAGATACACTGAACAAAGCAGGTATGTTAGATTCTTATCCTGATAAACTTCATTTTTAGAGTGAAGCAGAAATATTCACATTAAAAATGCTGATGTACATCATAAAAATGCAAATGTACATTAAAAAATAAATTAAATGACTACTTAAAAATAATGAAATCTTAAGATTGGTATTTACTCGTTCATTTCTCCCTACTTCCTTTTTCTCTCCTATTTTCAGCAATAAACATAAAAAGAAAAATGCAGAGAGAAGAGGAAAATGGAGGAAAGGGCATGAGAACAAAACATGAAAAAGGCAGTTATTCAGAAGTGCTTGTTTTCTGCAAGAGGTGAAGGGCACAGAGTCTCTATGGCTGTGGGGGAAAAAGACTCCTGGGAGACACCCAGAGCATGAAAATTAGGTTTCTGCTTTAAGCCAGTCTAGGTGAATCCTCATGAAAACAGAGAGAAACTGCTAGCCTCATGGGCTAAGGGTAGTCTTTACTAACACCTTCTGTCATGTATTTACTTTCTTGAAAATTCATGAGAATTGTTTTCCTTATTTTTCTTTCAGAATCCAATTCAGTGCCAAATTTTCTGGCTCAGATTGCTGCACTGATGGTGTGTTTAATCATTTCAGTATGTACAAGGTAATCCTTTTTAACTTTGTTGCTTTTTATATTAATGCTCATTGTGTGTCACCTGGTGAACAAAACACAAATTAGTCAATTTTGCAAAGAGATATATCTTATGTTATCATACTTTCACAATTGTCAGTGCAGGCAAATATCTCAGCTGTATGAGTACGAACAAAAATAAGAAATATGTTGCAGATGCCTACTTTGTCAAGCATGTTTTTGACAAGAGTTGTGGAAGCCTGAGGAGAATCAGAATAGATCTGTATCTTTCCAGGTGACTAATAGGAGTGTTTCTCTCAGGCTGGCAATGTTGATATCCTTATTTCTAGGTGGTTTTCCTCAATAGCTCAAGTAACTTAAGGTTTCACACTGCTGTTCACCTAGAAGAGGTCAGTTGGTTATCTGCAAAAGCGTCCTCCTTCACCCAGTCATCTGTTTATGCATCCCCTGCTTTTCTCTAAACTTTATTGTTATCTTCACAGGTATTTTCTGGGAGGATTTTCTGCCATTTTGTTGTTGATAATTTTAGCCTGTAAGTACAGACCTTCTTTACATTCAATACATCTTTTGCTGAGTGATGTCTGTGGACAAAAATCTTTCCTTATATAAAAATCCATGGCTCTTATTGATCCTGATAAGATCAATATGTGGGCATATGGGGACAGAATGTAGCCTTCAATCAATTACAGGATTTTGCATTTAAACTTCACAGTTCTTGTGTCCCAAGATGCTGCTCTGTCATCTTTCTTCAGTCTTGTTACATCTTTCAAAACAACTAACTTTGGTAAGTAGCACTAATGTGATGAATAATGTAATTTAGAAATTTTATACTGAGAGAAAGGAGAGCCTCCTTCTGTTGTTTTCATGGCAAAAGATAGAAGGCATAATCTGAAATTATTGATGCAGATTTGGCTTTTTGTGTTACTGATTTGTATTCATAGAAACTTTCTATTTACTTTGAAAAACTGAGTTTTAATGATGTGCAATAAGTATTGTAACAGTTCACAGAAAATCACAGAATCACAGAATCACAGAATCACCCGGGTTGGAAAGGACCTCAAGGATCATGTAGTTCCAACCCCCCTGCCTAGCAGGGCCACCAAACATACACATTTAGATCAGGTTGCCCAGGACCCCGTCCAACCTGGCCTTAAACACGTCCAAGGACGGGGCATCCACAACCTCCCTGGGCAGCCCGTTCCAGGGCCTAACCACTCTCCTTGTAAAGAACTTCCCCCTAACATCCAACCTAAATCTTCTCTCCTTCAACTTGGATCCGTTTCCCCTAGTCCTGCTACTGTCAGCCCTTTTGAAGAGTTTACTCCCCTCCTGGGTGTAGGTTCCCTTCAGGTACTGATAGGCTGCAATGAGGTCACCCCGCAGCCTTCTCTTCTCCAGGCTGAACAAGCCCAACTCCCTCAGCCTGTCCTCATAGGGGAGGTGCTCCAGCCCCCTGATCATCTTAGTCGCCCTCCTCTGGACCCTTTCCAAAATCTCAATGTCTTTCTTGTACTGAGGGCTCCACACCTGGACACAGTACTCCAGATGGGGCCTCACAAGAGTCGAGTAGAGAGGGACAATCACCTCCCTGTCCCTGCTGGCCACCCCTCTCCTGATGGAGCCCAGGATCCCATTTGCCTTTCGAGCTGCCAGAGCGCACTGCTGGCTCATATTCAGTCTCTCGTCCATCAGGACCCCCAGGTCCTTCTCTGCCGAGCTGCTCTCAAGGACCGCTCCTCCCAGCCTGTACAGGTGCCTGGGGTTCTTCCGGCCCAAATGCAAAACCTTGCACTTTGCCGTGTTGAACCTCATCAGGTTCACCCGAGCCCAGCCCTCCAGCCTGTCGAGGTCCCTCTGAATGGCATCCCTTCCTTCCACTGTATCAACCGCACCACTCAGCTTGGTGTCGTCAGCAAACTTGCTGAGGGTGCACTCAATTCCCTCATCGATGTCATTAATAAAGATGTTAAAGAGCACCGGTCCCAAGACAGACCCTTGGGGGACACCACTTGTTACCGGCCTCCACCTGGACATAGAGCCATTGACCACCACCCTCTGTCTGCGGCCTTTCAACCAATTGCTTATCCATCGGGTTGTCCACCCATCGAATCCACTTCCCTCCAATTTGGAGATGAGGATGTGGTGGGGGACCATGTCAAAGGCCTTGCTCAGGTCCAGGTAAATGACATCGGTCGCCTTCCCTTCGTCCACCAATGCCGTCACTCCATCATAGAAGACCACAAGATTAGTTAGGCATGACCTTCCTTTGGTGAAGCCGTGCTGGCTGTCTCAGATCACATGCTCATTCTTTATGTGATCGAGCATGTTGTCCAGGAGGATCTGTTCCATGATCTTCCCAGGCACGGAGGTGAGACTCACCGGCCTGTAGTTCCCCGGGTCCTCCCTGCTCCCCTTCTTGTATATGGGAGTGACATGACCCTTCCTCCAGTCATCCGGGACCCCACCTGACAGCCACGACTTCTCAAATATGATGGAGAGCGGCTCGGCAACCACCTCAGCCAGCTCCTTCAGGACCCTGGGATGCACGCCATCCGCCTCCATAGACGTGTATTCATTCAGTCTAAGGAGGCACTCTCGGACTTGCTCTGCCCTTACAGTGGGGAGGGATTTACCTCCTTGGTCCCCACATAGAGGTTTGGGGATGCAGGGCTCAGGGACGTGAAAAAGACTAGAATCCTGGCCATCAGTAAAGACCGAGGTGAAGAACTCATTCAGCACCTCAGCTTTCTCTTATCTGTTGAAGCCAGTTCTCCTTTTAAATTTACCAAAGTAGGTACGCCCGTTTTGGCCTGTCTCTTCTGGCCAATGTACCTGTAGAAGGTTTTCTTATTGTTTTTCACGTCCCTTGCCAAGTTCAGTTCTGCCTGCGCCTTGGCTTCCCTGATCCCACGTCTGCAAGTCCGGACGGCATTCCTGTACTCTTCCCAGGTGACACAGCCTTGTTTCCAGAGCTTGTACACCCCTTTCTTCGCCCTCAGTTCTCTCAGCAGGTCCTTGCTGAGCCATGCCAGTTTCCTACCTCACCTGCCCACTTTCTTATTCAGAGGAATGGAGACCTCTTGTGCTTCCAGGAGGGCATCCTTAAAGAGCAGCCAGCTCTCCTCAACATCCTTGTCTTTGAGGGCAGCGCGCCAGGGGATCTTGGCCAGCAATCCATTGAGTAGCTTGAAGTCTGCTCTTCTGAAGTTCAGTGTCCTGGTCCTGCTCTTTGCCAGGCCCACATCGCTTGAGATCACAAACGCAACCAGGGCGTGGTCGCTGGAGCCCAGGCAGCCTCCAACCTTGACGCCTTTGATGATCTCCTCGGCGTTGGTGAGCAGCAGGTCCAGCAACGCTTCACCTCTGGTCGGTCTGTCCAATACCTGAACCAGAAAGCTATCATCAATGGATTCCAAGAGCCTTCTGGAGCTCTTGCAGCTCGCCGTGTGGTTTTCCCAGCAGATGTCCGGATGGTTGAAGTCCCCCACCAGGACAAGAGCCCGTGAACCAGACATCTCACACATCTGGAGCAAGAAAGCCTCGTCAACAGCCTCCCCTTGATCAGGTGGTCTGTAGTATACCCCTAACACCAGCTGACCTATATTAGTCCATCTCTAATCCTAACCCACAGGCTCTCAACCTGTTCCTGACTGTTTCTCGTAGGGAGCTCCTCACAGTTTATCCAATCTCTGACATAGAGAGCAACTCCCCCACCCCTCCTACCTCGCCTATCTCTCCTAAAGAGTCTATAGCCGTTGATGGCAGTATCCCAATTGTGGGAGTCATCCCACCATGTTTCTGTGATAGCAACAAGGTCATAACTTTCCGAATGCATCACAGTTTCCAGTTCCTCCTGCTTGTTACTCAGGCTGTGTGCATTGGTATAAAGGCACTTCAGCCGGGCTATCCGTCTCGCCACCTTTATAAGGGATCTAGGATCCCCTAGAACAGCAGCATCCCCAGCATCCCCCTGCCCTAGTCCTTCCCTATGCACTCTGCCATCATTGCCCATGGAGTTTGGTACAAGCCCTCGAATGACCCGTTCAACCCCAGTAGCCCTTATTTTGTCCCCTTCCCCCTTCATTCCTAGTTTAAAGACCTGTCAATGACTCCCACTAATTCTTCAGCTAAGATTCTCTTACCCCTCAGGGACAGGCTGCATGCATCAGCAGCCATCATGCCAGGTGCAGTGTAAATTGCCCCATGGTCAAAAAAGCCGAAATTCTTGCG